CGGATTTGCCCCCCCCCCCCCAGATTTGTCGCAACGTCCAGTCGTCTGGTTCTCGTCCGGCAGCCGTTCGCAGAAGCAGAACATCGAAGAAGACCCAGTAGGGAGTAGCCCAATTGTGGCAATTGCCCAAAAAAAAATACGGAGTACAAAAACGACAAAGCAGAAGACCAGAAGTGCAGAACAATTCTGCTGCAGCCTGCAACACTTTAAGGCCCCGTTTGGTACACGGAATTCAAACTGTGGAATTGGAATTGAGGACTTCTATTCCAATTCTGGTGTTTGGTAACACAAAAATTATGTGGATTTGGAATTGATAATGCAAAAAATGAATTGAAATTGGCAGAATTCAATTCTATAGAATTGAATCCCATGGAATTTCAATTCTAATTCAATTCCAATTCCATCAATTCCGTATACCAAACGGACCCTAATGGTTTTTTATTTTAAAGTTTTTTTAAATGTTTTATAATTTATACCTTAAATCTTTAATGGTTTGGTTTATTTTTATTTCCAAGTGATGAATTGTGGTTGTGTAGTCTTAATAGGTTTAATTTTTAATGATTATTATATAAAATACTCCGTATCTATTTCCTATTTTGAGAGATCATAATTTATTAAATGTCCAATTACTTTTATTGTTATTTTAGTATTTATTAAATGTTAATTGCACAGTCTTAATTGGTTTAATTTTGAAAATTATGTTTTTTAATTATTATCTTTTGAACTATTTGAATGTTTGAATTTGCCCCCCGTCCCATGATTATTAGTTTTTTATTCTTCATATGCCATAGTTTTTGGGCTAAATTTCATCACTGACTAACCAATATTTTTTTGAAACAGAATTCTAAATAAAAGGGAGCTCATTTGTGTGAAACTACGATTATTGTTTGGGTTGCGCTAGAGAGTAAAGTAAGAGTAAGGTTTTGCATTTTCTGAGAAAAGGAGGGATATCCCTCCTTTGATGAGATCATTGAAGCAAAATTATGCGCGGAACAAGTATGGGAAAGGAGAAGATGATGGGCTAGCTTTTTTATGATGCATATGGGCTCCGACCTAATTTCAATTGCTTCCTTTAAAATTTAGAGCAAGGGAAATGGGGTTGACGCCCTCCGGCGTCAACTAGTGTTTGACTCCCTTTGGGCAATAAACACCGCCCCCTGGCGGCGTTGTGAGGCATCAGCCCCAACGCGTCAAAGGTTTAACGCGTTTCGCCCCTCCCCCAACGGCTAAAAACGGCTAAAAGAGCCGTTAATCACAAATATAAATTAAATTTAAAAAAACCTATAAATTCAATCAAAACAAACATATCTCTCCACATCTCTCACTCTCTTTTCTCTACAATTCTATCAAATATTTTTTCAAATATTTTCCTATTTATTATAATTATTCATAACATATATTTTAAAAATGGGATCATCTTCATCCGATGATGAAAAAAGAGCTCTCATTTTTCGTTGTTTCGTTACAAGTTGTTATCAATGGTGGTAACAAGGCGAAAAAGAAGAAGCTGTATCCTCCTGACGCCGGACCCGACGACAACGTTTAAACCGGGATCGAGCGGTTGCCCACGCTTCACTTCTCAACGACTACTTCAATACTCCGTGTGTTTATACACCAGAGGATTTTAGTAATCGTTTTCGGATGAGTCATCCTCTCTTTTTACGCATACTCACCGATGTTAAACACGAGGTGCCTTGGTTCACCAACGCTTTGATGCGAGAGGCCAATGCGGGTTTAATAGTGTGCAGAAGTGCACTATCGCGCTTCGTCAGATGGCATATGGGACGACATCTGATATGTTTGACGAATACTTGAAGATGTCGGATCGGAGCATTAGGTCCCGTGTTTATAAATTTTCTAAAGCTATTATTCGAATTGATCATAAAATATATTTACGCAAGCCTACAGCGAGCGACATTCAGCAGTTACAGGCAAGGCATGCTGCTAAACACAGTTTTGTCGGCATGCTTGGGGGCATTGATTGTGTAACGCCCCAAAACATACCCTAGAATTATTAATGAGTAATTATTCAATTGATTAAAATTTGTTTCGATTAAAATAAATTGTTGTTGGGTTTTGAGCCGAAATGAAATATGTTATGATATATATTATCACAAATCTGGATAAATCTCATAGAGATAAATCCAACATCTTGACTTATTGTGTGATCTTGATTGGGAACCTGAGTGCAGACCCAAATTAAGAATAAATGGAGAATTTGTTTATGATGTGAACATCGAAATGAATTATTAAAATAAATCATGAGAATAAAGTAAATGTGAGAACCTTTTTGAGTAAAGGTCAATAAAACCAATTTTGACTCTGTCAAAGTCAAACACACAAAAATATGATGTCATAAAAAGTAGGAAAAATTACCCAAAATAATCCCAACTTTACTCGGTCTTTCAAAAATAATCCCACCTTTCACTGTGATGCATAATAATCCCAACTTTATTGAAGTTTGCCAGTTTTGGGTCGCCGTTAAATTTCTAACGGAGGATTAACGAAATTGCCCATTTTAGACAACAAAATGAAAGTTGGGATTATTTTTGATGAATTTTTGTTTTATAATTTTTTTTGAATTTTTTATTTAAATTTTTTGAATTACTTTCAACCTCCATTTCTTTTTCTTTTTTAAAGATTATTCTCACCTTAGAAAAAAAAGATATAAAAAATAATGAAAATGAGAAAAATAACTAAAACCATACAAAATTAATCAAATAAATAATGTAATCAATAGAAATTAAACAGAAACTGGTAAGAAATAAAATAAATATATACGAAGTGGTGAGTTTTAACATTTTACACATTATACGGAGTCTTAATCTACAACTTATTTTTTAAAAAGAACAAGTCGTCGGTATAGTTAGAATTATTGTAGATAATGTTTTCTAAAAAATAAGAAGTGATATGTTAATACTTTGTATAGTGCGTAAAATATTCAAACCCACCCGTATATTTTTATTTTTTATTTTCCTTTTACCAATTTCAAGTTAGTTACTTTTATTATTTTTGTATCAAATTAGTTACATTTCTCATTTTTTATATCTATTATTTTTATTTTTTAAACTATGACTAATCTTTAAAAAGGAAAAAGAAATGATGATGGAGGTGGAAAGTAATTAAAAAAAATTAAATGAAAAAATCAAAAAAAATAAAAAATGAAAATTCATCAAAAATAATCCCAACTTTCATTTTGTTGCCTAAAACGGGCATTTCCGTTAACCCTCCGTTAGAAACTTAACGGTTGTTGGCCTTGAATGCCGTACCCCGTAATCGTTTTGATGTGCCAAATAAGTCTTCCAAATGCTACTAACATCATTTGCAGGAAGAAACCAAACGCCAAACCTCTATTAGCTTGTTTAGCATCACCGAGATATACTCCTACGAGTTTAGAAATTATTGTGTAAAGGTAATAATATATATTTTAATGATTTACTTATGCCCTTTCACTCAAAAATTAATTTTAAATGTCAAATATATTCTAAGTTGGGGTCATTTTGAAAACGGAACACGAAAAACGAGTTTTGGAAAATTTACACTCGCCTAACGGTACCAGGCTACCGTGTACACGGCACCAGGATACCGCCGGTAGCCAAGTAAACGTACCGTAGCACATTTCACTGAAGAGGTACACGGTACCCCCTACCGTGTAACGATACCTAGGTACCGGACGGAAGGCTGAGACGGATGGTTACCCCCGTCCTAACCAGGTACCGCCAGAGGCGAACCAAACTTTAGGCATACACGGTACCCCCAAACGGTAGGCTATACCGTGGGTCACAGTACCTAGGTACCGGACGGCACTGACCCTACCGTGAAGGGTACCGGATCCGTTGGCAGCACTTTAGCAAATTGCCAATTTAAGTTCAAATCACCCTAATCACTTTCTAACGGCATTTAACGTCAAAAACTCAAATTTTAACATTCCAAACTCCTATATAAACCCCCTTTAAGCCTCATTTTAAATACAACAACTTCCCAATTAATTCTAAAGCCTCTTTCTTTATTCTTGAGTGTTCTTAAAGCCTTGTTCTTATGTTTCTTACACTTTTGAGTAAAAAGCTTTCATCTTTTTATACACTCACACACAAGGGCATTTGTGCTTCATTATTTTATA